GCCTGGGGGAAAATTCTAGCGGCCGGCAATTCTCGGCCGAAAATTCTTAGCTCTCCGTGGTTTCTCCGCTCAACGCCAGACGAATGCCGGAGCAGTACCCTAACAAATGGGCCACAGTCCGCGCGCGGTTTTTCCTTTGTCTTCCTTGTCCTATCCTCACCCCCTTACTTACGCACATTACTTACACTCACATGCACTACGCTTCCACACATGTCCGGCCGAGAGCTTAGAGCTTATCCTGGCTGTGGCGGTGCCCCACCGGTGGGAGATACGCGGCTGGGGAAAATGTCGGCAAGCCGATGTAAATCGGCGCCGAATCTCACCATCCAGTGGGGGAAGATCATCGCCAGCTATTGCGATTGAAAACATGAACTACATATACGGGATATATGATTTTAGCAGTTGTCCCGCCCGGAATCACTAATCAAACAATCCAATCCATTCTCATTTCGAATTGTAAGAATCACCCTTTATACGAGGGGCGGGCACGGTTTTGGCTGGACATTTTTATTTATGCCTAAGCCCCAGTGGGTACGGCGACACAACGGCAAAGCTGCGTCGGGCAAGCGATGTAATTTGAATCTGAAAAGGTCGGTTACAGCTGGATGAATGAATGACAAGAGACATAAGACACTATTTAATTTACAATTCTTTTAATTTATATATAGCACTGTTTATGTACACATTGAGAGAACATACAAAGATAAAAAGCTTGTAAATATAATATAGGTGCATTTGGTAAAACAAATTCACAAACATATAATTGGATTGCCTTGACAGATTTCATTAAATTTCTAACATAGTTATTTATAAGTTCAACTTTATTGGCAAAAACGTTAATTCTGGGTAGAAACCATTTTTAATTCTGATCCGAGATCACGTCTGTGATATACGATATATATGAAAGTTATGAGTAAAGGTAGAAATATCAAAGTATAAGATATGAAATATTCAGGAGGCTTGAAGAGTGTGAAAAAACATAATACTTTCTTTCTTTTTTAGGTGAACTTCGTTTTGTTCATCAATATTGTGCGAGTTTTGTTGCTCAAATTAAAGTCTTCTGTATGCGAAGAAACAAAAACGTACAGGTATTGTTTTATGTACATTTTCCTTAGTTCATCTAAAAGCAATGTATTGCTTTTGAAGGAAGCTTAATTCACTGGTGTTATTATTTCTTTACAGACGGTGGGCAAAATCTACTTTGGTGTTGGTTCCACTTTTTGGAGTACACTACATGGTGTTCCTTGGTCTTCATCTCAGCACAAATAAAACAGTTGAAGTTGTATGGTTGTTTTGTGACCAGCTTTTTGCATCTTTCAATGTGAGTTTCAGAAATTGTACTGTTCAAGGCAATAGAACATTCCTATTTTTTTCATTGTTACTGGCACCCCTATTTACAGATACCAAATTACTATTAGTTTTGGATTAACATACTGCTGAAAGATGAAAGAATGGACATATCTACATTCTATCCTTTCCACCTTGCTTCTCCAGCACTACGCAAGATTACTCATACCGTTATGTTAGTTTTTGCATTAAAGTTTTGTTTAATTTTAACTTCTAATGACATCGTGAAAAATTGGAACGTTCAAAATGCTCATCATGCGTAAGAAAGTCTTTGATCAAGCAAGTTAATAAAGTAGTGTATTTTTGTTGTTGGCGTTTGTACTTAGTTTCTAAGTACATGCAAATCCAGTGCCTCTATATGTTTTACTATTGTTATTTATTCAACTATATAAAAAGTACGAGTAATACTGAATAAAAATTATTATTGTTATTATTATTACTATTATTTCCAGGGCTTCTTCGTGGCTCTGTTGTACTGTTTCCTGAACGGCGAAGTGAGGTCGGAGTTATCGAAGAAGTGGAAGCACTTCTCGTTCGCCGAGTTGCTGGAGAGTTGGCACTGCCTGCGGCGCGACCACATGGCCAACGGCATCTTGTCCGGCGGCGGCCGCTTCCTCAGCAAACCCCGCCACAGCCACCCGCGCGGCTCCTGCTACTCCAGCACGTCCTTCACCACCGTCAGCGTGCTGCCCTCGGCGCACTGCTGCAGCCTCAACAAGAAGCGCCAGTCGCCCGCGCAGGCGGTTCGCCCCGCCCCCGCCGCCGCCGCCGCCACCGCCCCGGCCGCCGCTCTGCCCAAATCGCCCGGAGATGACTCGTGCCGCGCCGGCCTGGTGGAGGACGCGGAAGAGGACCGCGATTCTGCACACAAGGTTTCTTCAAAGGTTGTTTATCAACATCTTCTAGAATTGGAATTAGCCTGACGTAGTATAAGGTGTTTTTACTGTCTTCAAGGTGAGGTTTCGGAAGTATGTTACATTAGATTAGATTTTTTTATAATTCAGCAAATACGTTTGAGAACGTGATGGCAGAATGCACTAACTTAACATTACTGAACTTAACAACTTTACGAAATTTACAAACATTACAAATTAACGTGAACATTTCACCGTGTAATCTTTCATAACACTCCACTCACCCCACTTCACTTCATCGCACTGCGAATCACTGAGCTGTATGTCTCTCTTACATACTCGTTTCCCTGAGTTTCACAACGCCACTGCACTTCACGCCACTGCACTTTACGCCACTGCACTGTACATGTTGCCACCATCAACAGGCAAAAACGGGAGATTCTATCTACGACCATTCACTCTGCGACCATTCACTCTGCGACCATTCACTCTACGACTATTCCTCTACGACTATTCACTCTACGACCATTCACTCTACGCCCATTCACTCTACGGCCATTCACTCTACGGCCATTCACTCTACGACCATTCACTCTACGGACATTCAGTCTACGGCCATTCAGTCTACGGCCATTCAGTCTACGGCCATTCAGTCTACGGCCATTCACTCTACGGACATTCACTCTACGGACATTCACTCTACGGACATTCAGTCTACGGCCATTCACTCTACGGACATTCACTCTACGGACATTCAGTCTACGGCCAATTTTGACTGAGTCTGACAAGACTTTTTGCTAGTGAAAAACTTTTCTTTTATACAGTGAGCTGTCTCCCTCAGTGAGCTTGTTGCCTTATATATATCCCCAAAAATTTCGCGAATAAAATGACGAGTCACGAAATAAAGCATTGTTTACGTCAATTGTTTGTCTATAAATTATTTGTAGGACTCCGCACCTTCAAGATTGTACAAACAATTTATGAATCGCATGTTCTATTTGTTTCTGATGTCCAGGCACATGGAATGTGATCATTGCACGCCTCTGAATTGTTGGAGGTTTATATTCGATATTAGATAGGTTCCTGTTCACACTTAAGGCGTTCACAAGTTCGTTTCAGGTTTCTCCAATTTCCTTCTGGAACTCCGATTCCCCTCTTCGTGGAAACTACATTTCAATATTTCATATCATTTAATATTTGTGATTGGAGGGGGTGACAGTTGTAAGCGACTGATCTAGTAAATATTCTTGAATTTCGCGTAAAACAAAATAAGTTAGATCATACTAAAAATAGCTATGTTTTGATTTCAAGCTTCATAATTCGAGATAACGTACGTGTGTTCTTGTGCAAACGTACAAGAAAATAAAATAATATAAAATGAAATAATTATGCATGAAAGAAAGAAATAATATATGGCCATATTGGCCTTTAAAACGTTGCCAATTAGAGACAGCACATAATTTTGCTAGTGTAAATAATGTAACCTAGAAGAATTATTGTAATGATAACGTTCCAACTCAAGTCCTGTTTGAGGTTAAGAGTTGTAATGCTGGTATGCCAAAGCTGATAACATTCTGTTCGCTGTAGAAAGGATTCTGTTTATTCTCAAGACTCAGGAAAGTGTAATAATTATTTCATGGTGTTGTCTGTTCATTCATACTTCACAGCAGCAAAACAAATTTTCATTAAAACAATAGCGTTTATTTTTTCACAAAAAACAAGTCCTTCAAAATTAAAATAAAATTAGAACTGCCCACGACATATTCGGTACCTTCAGAAGTGTCTCAATGTTCTTCTGTATACTCTTTATTACAATTTGTATACTTGTAGCGAATTTCTCAAGCTTCGATGGACTTAGAAATAGCCTTATACGCCGACGATAGTCCTTTGCTCCTCTTAAAAAGACATATATATCTTATGACTACCTGTAATCTGTCTTTAAAACATGAAATAGGACAAAACCATGGAGAAAATCAACCCTCCAAAAGTTTCAATGTAAAATATCTTTTTTTTTGCTTATCACCAATACCTCCACGCTAAAAATTGAAAAAAAATAATCTTTCATCGCTTCTTTCCGAAAGAACAGTGAAATATTCCGGGAACACTGTTAGATAAACTATTAGATATTTCAAACCCGTAAAGTCAATTTATCAATTAATGATTATAATAAAATGAGTAAACTTTATCCTTTAATCAAATACAAGTCAAACCTCAGAGAGAAGAATAGTCAACTAATAAGTAAATCGATAATTCGCCCTACGTTAACATATGTCTCATTTGTCTGCCAGAAATCGGCACCGAGACACACTAAATGTCTGCATGAAACACTTGAAGCAATTTGGTTTATTATTAACAACATTCAATACATCGCGAACTGTCAATTGCTCCAATCACTGCGTTAATGTCAAAAGTACGCCAACCACTTTAAAATTTGGTATTGTAAATCTACAGTATCAGAACCCGTTCATGATATGCTGAACACAAATCATTAAAATAATTGAAGAAAAAGAGATCAGGCATTCTTATCAAAGCGACACTTTTACTTAAAAAACTTTTACTTATATAATTACCCTTTTCCTTATATAATAATAGTTTCATGATCTTTTATGACTTCGTATATGTTTAAATGTACCGTATGTCATAAATATGTATTGTAATGGTCTTAATGCAATGATCATGTTACTTGTGTCGAAATGTGACGAAATATTAATAGAAAAAACATTGTCATAACAGCTTCGGATTTTTATTCATTTTCCCAAAAATTGATATTCAGAGAAAATAAAGTAATCTTTCTTGCAGGTTAAGGAGATAAATAACTGTGGACAGAACAGAAGATGGTCTGGGACCGATTACAGTTCAGAAACAAATGCAGTCGAGTTGAAAAGCATTACGTCATCAAAGAACTACATTGTGAATATGTGAAAATGTCTTCGTCATTTATTTTGAGCATACATTCAACGTAGCTGTTTCATAGGCATTGTGTGTATCTACATTCTGAATAAATGTATGTAGTCAATATGCCAACTCTTAAAAAAACTCTGATGGATATTGAATGCATTTGATGGAATTGTGTATATTATTGGTGATTTAAGTTTGCAACGTACTAGAGAATACTAATGTGTAGGCTATCTCTCAAAGAAAAATTAAAGTGAAAATGATTTCCTCGTATCTTGAATTTGGATTCTACATTGTCACTATCTGACATTCAAAATAGTAGTATTAAAATTAATATTATCGTGGTAATGAGCTAGCGAATTGTGGTGCTAGGCAACGCCAAAGTCAATTCTGTGATAATAAGCGTGTAATTGTACTTTTCAACAATTCTTTTGAACGTAAAAGAATTATTGAATTCATTACTTTTAATAAGACTGTTGTAAATATATTTTTATTCGTAGGATATTTTTCTACTTAAATGCCATTTCATTTCTTAAATGTTAGAAACTCCTGAAAACTGTAGATTTTATAAATAAACCTTTAAATATTTAAAATGATATTTGTGTTTTATTAACTGTTATCTCAAAGTTGCCAACTTTTGTTGCAATTGCTGTATTTTAATAATTCCCATTCTAGTATGATTCTTTGGAACGCTATCTCCATTGCTGCTTTTATAGTGTTAGTTTCCTTTATGATCGAATCTACTTTTACAGTATGCCCGATACTCATTCCCGACTGCCATTTAGGGAAGTCTAGAATCTTCCTGTGACTCTCAGCGACTACTCAGCTCAGGGCACCCCATCGCCTCCCAATCCTAAGCTCCGAGGTAGTCCTTGGTAGTCCTTGGGTCCATCGCGGCTAGAAAATGCCACAGTACCAGAGGAAGCTCGCGGACTTGCCTGAGCACTTGCATCTTTCTGCGAGAATATGGGTAAGTTAGCGGCGAAGGCTTTAGGCAAGATTCGTGAATAACATACGTGACATGTCCAAAATGGTGTTATGGTGTGGTGGTGTTTTTCATGAAGGAGACCTGCACCCCTCGTAGTTTTATGTAGCATTATTACGGCTTAGCTACGTATATGTTTTAAACACATTTTTGCTTCCAAATGTTGAAGAGTAATTTGGGATAGCAATTGTATCTTTCAACGCGATGGATCACCTGTTCATACTGCTCGGCCTGTAGCGGAGTGATTACACGACAATAACATCCCTGTAATGGACTGACCTTCACAGAGCCCTGACTTGAATCATATCGGAGATCTTTGGGATATTTTGGAACGCCGACTTCGTGCCAGGCCTCACCGACCTACATCGATACTTCCCCTCAGTGCAGCACTCTGTGAGGAATGGGCTGCCATTCCCCAAGAAACCTTCCAGCGCCTGATTGAAAGTATGTATGCCTGCAAGGCTGGAAGCTGTCATTAAGGCTAAGAGTGGGCCAACACCCTGTTGAATTCCAGCATTACCGATGGAGGGCGCCACGAACAGGTAAGTCATTTTCAGCCACGTGTTCGGATAGTTTTGATCAAATAGTGAATGTTTGTTTAAATCGTTTAAACGTGAACGGACGTGGAAGAACAGAAACAATCATTGAGAAAATAGTAATTGTAACCTACAGTTTTGTTACATTACATTAGATGTTAATAAGTTTCTGAGTTGTTGTTTTTTTTGTTTTCAAAATTTAATTTCTTGCTTAATTTAAATGTCATAATAAACACATATTCTTTGAAATTCCACGCGTGTTTTTCCTTTAAAGAGATTATTTTCAGAGATTACTTGCGCCATTACTAGCGTTGCTGTGGGCCTTATACTTTGTATAAAGCTATGTAACAAAATTTGAAAAAGTTTTTGTTATTTTTTTTGTTCTGTGCACAATTTGTCAATGCTGATTATGAACATAAAAGCAGTTTTTCTATAATGTCAATACATTCTTTGTAATTAACCACATTTCTCTATCAAATATCTTGTTCCGTTACTATAATGCGAAGTCTCGGACGATTCCATTTACTAAAAAGGAAAATGGCTGGGTATGTGATCAATACAATAACAATGCAGATATGTATTTTTGTAATACGTAAGTGCAATTTGTATATTTTTAAATGAAAATATTTGTATCAAAGATTTTAATAGATTTTATAATCTGAAACATGTATAGAATAATAGTAATAATAATATGGAAATGAAAAATTCACACATAATTTTCTCCTTTAAACAATTTAATTCCTTTAAAATCATCTTCAACAAAATGGATGTTTGTTACCCCATCTTTACCACGAATGACTTGTTTAAAATATTACCAAACATCTTTCTATTAAATTAATTTAATAATTTTAACAATATATTTACAACCACTCATGTTCTTTGGTCTTTCTGCGTGCATTACGTATAACTTTTACTGTATTCCAACGGCGTCAGCTAATCTAGCGTTGTTCACCACTCATACCTTTTTCTCTACTCTTTTAGAACTTAATGAATACTGAGGCTGTGTATTTCACAACACGTTGAACACAGTTTCACCACTCTTTAAACTATTTTTTTAAAGCACCCGGTGTTACCAATACACCCATCCGATCATTTTGCCTGCTCCGCTCGTTTTTCGTAAAGCTTCTTTCCAGCAAACTACACGAATTCTCATTGTTTATCCTTCTACCCCTTTTTATTGGTCCATTTACATCGCACCGCTTTCAACTGACCTTAAACATCTGCTAAACTGCGAACTTAATATAAAATACTAATTACTTTACTTCTGCCGCGTCGTATTATCGAGATTTATTACACATTTCTTTTAAAGCCTTGTGTTTATTGGTCAGCATTACTAATAAGAAAAAATATATTCCTTTTTAATTAAAATCTTCCTCGCACTACATAAATGTTTTTCTCTCTCTAATGTTTATATTCAAAATATTGTTTACATGTTTGCACCAATGTACGACGAGAATTTGTATCCTCAACGTCCTTGCTTTGCAAACGTCCGTGCTTTTCTTTAGAAAAAATACCCCTGCGGCATGATATACTTCATGAGTTTGGAACCCATAGTTTTGGTGAAACGTGTATCTGAGAACAGCTACTGTAGGCGAATGTGGCATCTAGCAAATTCGATTTCCATTTACACTTTTGTGTAATGTTTTACCACTCATTTTTTACGTATTCTATGTGGTTTTAAAGCTAAACTTGTAAGAGAAGTTAACAGAACCAAAAAGTAGGAATTTCTCTCGTATTTTTTTGCTTTCATTCTTTTCTTACACACTCACGCCCACATTATACACCCGAGTTTAAAGTTAGGAGGTAAAAAAGCAATTTATAGTGACCATTTGTTCCTGTGGCGTTGTTTCGCATTATATCTCTCACATTCTTCAACAAAGCAACCATGTAGAGTAGTTAATGGCATTATATCCCAAGCTTAGAAAAAGTAACCATGAATCTGCTTCTTTGCAAACCGTAAAAAAATACCGTTTTCATGTATTTCAATAATTTCTTTGTGAATCTTAATAAGTCTCATTTAAAACGTATTAAATATGTTCAACTCAATTTTTCATAAAGTTCACTGATGTCTTTGAACAACAAAATAATTTTCATTTAAAACATTTTATACCAAACCACCAAAAAATAGTGTTCTCTAAGAGTGAAAAACTACTTTTCAAACATACACCTAATGAAATATTATAAAAAGAACTTGCATCCGCTTTTTCTCTGAAAAGACGCGTCTCTTTTATGTTACTGCTTAATTTTCATTAATTAGGATCAAGGAAGACTTGTAAGTTTGTGAACAGATTGAAGGCCAAGGACGGAAAGACCGTAATGCAATTCAATGCTGAGAGAAGTTTCGAGTGAGAGAGAAGGAGAGATTGACCTCTAAATTTGCTCTCCTTTGTCGCAAAAGAGAGCCATCTTTCACCACTGAAGAGATAATGTAATTACTATCGGCCCTACTAATTTATTGATTGGCTAAACGACTAGCTAAGACGCTTCAGTAAATTCATTAAATAATAGATAGGTAAACATTTTCTCTAATTATTTACTGCCATTAAACTTTTCATTTAAACATGTACCCAAAGAACAAAGTAATAAAAATTTTAAAATACTCTTGGCAGTTTTATTAGTGTAAATTTATCAAACTTTAACAAAAATACACATGTGCAGTCGCTACTGCTAATACTGATTGGAGAGTTTCTCCCTTCATAGCGCCAAGTTCTGCCCGAAACTTGAAGATCCCCGACAGAAGACGTACTTGTACTGATGTCTGTTCCATTTATGAACAGCAGTAGTCGTATGTTTGCGAAGTGGAGGAGTGATAATCTTCACTAAAAATTAAATTTACCAACGAAGGTGATTGGTTTCTTGTCAAGTTTGAAAACGATATTCATTATTATCATCTTCCTCACGCTACCAATTTTTATATTGTTCTTTGGAATGATCGATTTTTGGAGTTTCAGTAGAAGAGAAGTGAAATACCGATGAATAAATGGAAAAAATATCATTCTGGTCCTTAAAAGTGGTGTTTGTTAGTGTGACCTCAATGTTAACACTAAGTACTGTAGTTATGCCTCACTGCCAGCTTCGTCAGTCTCCCTTCTCCACGCAACAGTCTTGACGCACCGAAGGCCACTGAGAGTTGCTATATGAAATATTGTCCGTTTAATTCAAAATCACATGTTAGAAAGTGGAATTTTATACTCAAATTACCATCAAAATACCAACACATACAAATTTTTATTCTTTTCATGATCTATCCATTGCCCGTGAGAAAAATATAAACAGTGGCTCACTTTAATTTTCGAACACCCAGATATACTCAAGAAATCGTAAGTTCTGCAAACTTTTGACGGTTGTAGGAAAGAAATAGAAGCAAAACAATAAAACAGGACTGTTCCTTTAGTAACGAAGAACTATATAAACAAAATAAAAACAAAAATACCGAATGTAGTTGACACATTAAATAGAAAAAAAATCTTCTGAATTCATTGGTCACAGAAATATTTGAAGACGTGAAACGAAATAAAAAATAAATAAACGGAAAGAAAAGTAATACTTTGTAGCATAACCATTGCTGTCAATGGCTTGCTGCAATTGTCATTGTACCAATAATCCTGTTCTTCCTTGATTATCGCTTGCAGTGGGATTTTGACGTAATTAGGATTCTCCTTACTGTATGTTCCAATTCATGCTATAAATTATCGATTGTATTGACGTCAGGAGACTGAAGCGGCGTTTCCAGCACTATTGGACAAGTGAACAACAACCATTTCCGCACTAAATATGATTTGTACTTCGGGTCGTAATCTTGATAAAATTTAAACGACTTTCTGATGCCCAGTGTATCAGCAGATGTGTAAATTATCTTTCAGTATCTGTAATTCTGTATTTGGTTTGCGACATATAATATTACTTCCTTCACTGACAAAGAAATTACTCTTCTCATCTACAAAAATTACCTCACGCCACCACTCCTCCGATTTCGTCACATTTTCTTTTGCAATTTGAAGTCGTTTAGATCTGTTCCCAGCACCGATGAAGAGGTTCTTCCTGTCCGCTCTGCCGTGATATGCGCCATTCCTAA